GCGGTGGTCAAAAGCATCTCTTGGACACTTGTGTTACAGTGAAAATCAGGATTTAAACCTGCAGTCAGGTTTGGGGCTTTCGGCAAGTAGCCAGTGTAGGCCTCTGTTAGAAAGCCTTGCCCTGGTATAACAGCAGCTAAAACCTTCTTTTTGACTCCCCTCCAACCGCAGGGCATGTCTCATTAGCAGATTAAGTCCAGAGTTAAACGAGTCCTCTGGGAGTGGAGGATGCGGTGTCTGCTGAGCCTGCCACGCCAGCTGAAATGATTTTTGTAAGGCCAGATAAGGAGTTCTGCGACTCACCAGAGGGGAGAAGATCTAGAGATAAGGTTTGTTTTGCAAAAATCAGCTCATGAATAAATCCTGGGAAAATCTGCACTAAGCTGTGACGTCACAGTCCTTACCTACTTTGAAGTTAATTAAGAGAAGGGCGTGTTAAGTTCCTCTGTCATCATAAATCTATTCTTCCGTATGTCCAATGGTAGGAAGACTCCCACCCCGCTGCTGCCCGGGCTCTCATCGTCTCTCGCCAGCAGCCTGGAGCATAAGCGATTGCTTTAACATTCCACCTGCCTCCCCGACTGCCAACCACGCGGGTCACCCGGAGGTAACCGCGGGGCAGGCCGCCTCCGGGCGGGGGCCTGCCGCGGCGGGGATTAACCGCCTCACTGGGCTGTTGCCCTCGACAATTTTCTGGTCAGTAACTTTTTGAAAGGCGAGCGTGTCTAGTGCGGTAGGGAGGGGCAGGCAGGAGGGGATGACGAGAGATGAAGGGGGAGAAGAAATAGGGGCTGGATTCTTTCCAGGACGGAAAACTGTCTGTCCAAGAACTTCTCCAAAACGCAAATTAAATATTCCTCTATCCACCATTAAATTACCGTGAATGGGTGGCTGTGCAACATCTTGACAGGCTGTGTAATAAGGAACGCCGTGTCTCTCTTCTCCTTTATTCTTCTGCATTTTCCTCTGTCCCAGACAGGAACTTTTGCGTCTGTAAGAGTCATTCTGTCCAGGACTTAGCCTCCAGTTGGGACACGCTTATTGCCAATTTAGAATTAAATTTTAAAAGGAAAGGGGACACAGACCAGACTCTGAGACCCATGGCTACATTTTGGAAATTGTGCTTCCTAATAAAATGGAGCATTTCCTAAACTGCAGATCTAGACTTCTTACACATGCAGAGCCCTCAAATCCTAACTAGGGCAGGATAAAGCTAAATGATGCCTCTCTTGAGGTTGACTGAGCAAAGAATAAAAAATGACGGTTCCTTACAGGCTTGCTTGCATATGAAGGGAAGGGAAGTGCCAACTGCACAGCTTTAGGTTAAGTGCAGCTCACAGGGCAAAAACACAGGCCCAGGCCCACCATCATTCATCAGCTCAACGGTGAGCAAAGGCTTTTGCTCAGGAGCATGGAGAACATGCATGATTATCCCTGACTCTTAAGCTATCTAGCTGAATGGTTTAGAGAGAATGTTACAAATAACACAACCTTACGAGTGCCAAACAGCTAATTGTCAAATTGCAGATTCCGCAGAGGGAGAGCAGAGGACCGATGAGTAGGTTTGTAGAAAATCTCAGGAAGCAATAGTAGAATGAGGGCCTAGAAAAACGTTGGTGAAGCTGCTGCAAGCAAGAAAGGAAGAGAGAAGTATTGCCTACCCAGAAACGCTAAGCCAAAGCCCTCTGTCAAGATAGAGTTCAGGAGCAACAGAAGCCTCAGCTATGAGACTAACGCAGCAACTAAAAGTCTTGTCTCTTTGTAAGATCTGATATCCTAGGAGGCCAGAGGGAAGCCCGTGCCAATTTAATTTGGCCAGATGTAAGGCAGATATTGGAAGTCTCATATAATCTTGTAGGAGCAGTCAAGCTTGAATTTGGACCAAAAGCATGTTGTATTGAGTTTTGAGTTTTATCCATCTGTAAAAAGTAGCAGAAATGACAGCAGGAAACCTTGTTTCCCACTGTGTTGTTAGGGAACTTTCACCTCTCACAAAAGAATGGTCTTTTATTTACTGCTTTTCTCTTACGCAGGCTGAAACCTTCACCTGAGTGTGAACAGTATCAAGGACACAAAAACTTCCCATGGAAAAAAATCAGTACTGAAGTTAATGCTGTCAGCAGGATAACCAGCAAATTCTGTCTTCCCCAGATGGCCTAGATTTTAATGGGGTCACCTTGCAAGACTTGTCTGTAGGATATTAAGGGTCCCAAAGTAACTGTTGGGGCATGAAAAATGTTATGTCCAAGAGTTGCATCAGAGACAGATGTTCCTTTGACAGGTCATCCTTTGCTTAACTATTCTTCCGTGTATCTTTCCTGACATTCAATGCATCAGTGGCAACTCTTGGGAATAGGAGGCTGTATGGATGTTTGAAACAGATTAAAGTGAAGAGTGAGCGATCTACTTGTTATTTTGCAATAGCAGTGTGAAACCTTACAGTGCTATGTACGTGAGGTCAGTTTCTTGTGTTACTCCCCTTGTCTGACACCTTATTTCTCTTTCTCTCCTCTTCTTCATACCTTCCATCACTCCTCAACTTGCAGACACTAAAAAATTATCTGACATTTGACTGATCCAATCCTGCTAAGAGGCTGAAGTTCACACTGATGCAAACTCTGTGGGCATCAAAATTGATGCTTATGGTTGACATTTTGTAGTGGTTTTTTCTCCCCTTTCCACAGAGGTGTAGGTTGTGAAAGAGAGAGCAATAAATGTGTTTGCTTATAGTTGAACAGTATTTTGTAAATATTTCCTGAAAGCTTGTGAAATTTCTCACATGTTCTTGATTTCCCTTCAAGTCTGCAAAGTAGGCATAAGAAACATCACTCAGTCTGGCTCTGAGTTCAGAAGCGAGTAAATAGCCATCAGTTTTACAAGCTTTGTGTAGATGCCAAAGCCTGATGGCCAAGGGTGATATGCTGAGACTTTCGAAGACAGGCCACGTTTTTAGCTGTATGCTTTCTTACAGTTTTTAAGTCTGGTCACAGTTTTTTCCTTGAAAATTACTTCCCCTGAGATAAGATTTCCCATGAAATGGCTCTGGCATATTTATATATGCTCTGAAGTTTCTGGTTAACCAACTCGTTAGTCCTTCAGTGATTTTGAGAATGTAAGTCTGTCAGTCTGTGTGTGTTTATGTTCACAGATGTGCCAATGATTTATAAATGGGATTACGTGGAAATTTAACTCATTTAGGAAATGGTTGAGGATCCAGGTACTTCTACATTTTAGCCTTGCTTAGTTGCACTGAAAGAGCTCTTTGACCCTGTCAGAGATTAGTTTTAGTACCAATTATGAGATAAGCTTAACTAGTCCTTAAAAATAAGCACATTAAAGCTTGCTGCAAGCGATTTGTTGGGGGGGGGAATACTACAGTTCCTAAATCTTTATATTTATCTTGCTGTTACTAAATTAACTGAGTGATATAATTTAGACTATTTTTCCCTGTTCTTTCAACTTCTTGAAAACTCAACGATTATTAAATCTTTAAAGTTTAAACATGCTCATTTTTAACCATTAAAAAAATCAATATACCAGTCAGATTCATACTCAATACACAGTGGTATGGGAAGCAACTGTAATCCTGGATCACAGGTGAAAAGGCCACTGCTTGGAAATAACACTGTTCTGAGAGCAACAAAGCTGTTTCCAAAGCCCATTTTCCCAGACCCTCGATCAGAGTAAACCTGCATTTGACTATGTGAGTGTCCTTATCTATTTTTAAGTACTAAATTTTACATTATCAATGCTCACAATCGCAATTGTGAGCAGTAGCAACCTTTTCTTCTCTTTCTTTTGGATCTTGCTCGCAGAGCAGTCAGTTGATTTCAGTAACATACTCCATTCAATAGTTTATTTTTTGCAGAATGACAAATGACTCACCATTCATAACATGATGAATGCTGAGAAGACTTAGCTTGAAGAGCAAAAAGGATAGATTGATTCATATATAGATGTCTTAGGTAACAGAGAGATGAATTTATATTCCTTCCAGCAGCCTTGAAAGAAATAGGAAAATAAGGTTATGTGCTAAGGAAAAAATACTTTGGTTAAATCTGCTTAGCTCTACATCAACATTTGAAAGACAGCGGTGGAAGCACCATCTCATACTTGAGACTAATATTGTTGCCTCACTAGGAAAATCATACTGGGTAAAGCCCCACAATGAAAGTTAATGAACCGGCTAACTTTTCAAGTTATTTCTATTTCTGACCTCCATGATGGTGTAGAAATACAGATAGGGTTGTGCTGGTTATGTCTTCATGATATATCAAATCCATGCTATATGATTTGAATGTTTTGTTTCCACAGATACTCAGAGTTGTTCTTTGTACAGGAAGTATTTTATCATTTTTATTGTGTTAAATGGGAGTGGCAAGTGAAATCTTGCATATATTAGCTGCAAAGTAAATCAGTGTTTGAAATTTCTCATTTTAAATGTCTATTAGGATGAACTTTTTGTCTGAAATGCACCTAGGACACCAGCCTGGAAACAACATTGCAAATAGTTACATATGATATGCTGAAAAAAACCTGTTTTACTGCAGAGCAAATACTATCTCCAAATGTAGAACAAGAAGTAGATAACATACCATATACACAGGAAGGTCTGTGATTTTAGAAAAAATTTGTCTTTCTGTGTGTGTGTAGCAAAAGCAGGGATAGATTTGAAACTTTGTGATACAGAGAATTTGCCAAGTGTTTCATATATTTGTCATATTAGGCTAAAGATCTGATATTTTGTGTTAGCTATTGCGTTGCCTGTAAAGAACCTGTAAATAGAGTGTCAGAGCGGGATACAGCTACCACCATCATGCTCAAGTCCCATCCCCATGTAATAGAAAATTATTGCTAGTCATAAATGAAACAATGCAACAGGGCTGGCAGTGAAAACACATCAAAGCTGTTCATCAAATTGTTGAAGTTAGAAGCATGTTTTAATTATTTTAGATTTGAAGCAGAAGTAGTTTGACTCTAACAAAAGTTTCTTGCTGCAGATCATCCTGTGGGGTCGAACTGAGAAATGCCTGAAGGAGACCACAGAGGAAATCAGGATGATGGGGACAGAATGCCATTATTTCATTTGCGATGTAGGAAATCGAGAGGAGGTCTATCGGCAAGCCAAAGCTGTGCGGGAAAAGGTTGGTGTCTGTAGAAACACTGTTTGTGGGCAGAATTTAGTAACGACTCATATTTGATGAGGAGAAAAAAAATACATTGGCAAATTGGGAAAAAAGGGTGACCATCCAATTATATAGTACAAAATCTAGCTACCTGTTTAAGTGATCCAGAAGGATTACGAGGCCTATAGGCACGAATGTCAAAAGCTATTAAATTAATAATGTATTTGGGCAATAATAGATACTCACATATAATGTTGACTGCTGATTTGTGAGGAGACATATTAGTTGTGACAAGTCATTTGCTCTTTTTGCAGGTGGGTGATATCACTATCCTGGTGAACAATGCTGCTGTGGTCCATGGTAAGAGCCTGATGGACAGCGATGATGATGCACTGCTCAAATCACAACATATAAACACCCTGGGACAGTTTTGGGTAAGATAAGATCTTGTCACATGTATTCCGAATTGGAAATGAGTGTGACAGATTACAGCCAGTAAACACTTGGCTGCTACTAGGTCTTTCTAAATGATGCTTGGTAAAATCAGTCTGACGTGAAAAGGAGACAAAAAACAATGTCAGAGACAAAGGCCAGAGGAAAGAAATCTTAAAAAAATTTAAACCTTCCAGGAGTAACACAGTATTTGATGTTCTGTTATCCCCATTCTGTGATTTCCAGGAAAACATTTGATTTCTTTTGAGAAAGCGTGAGCTCACAGCAGATAGTTTTCTGTTCCATGTGTGTGGAACGTCAGAGGAGCATGAGACTACACTGCTCAGGGAAGGAAACTAGTGTGAAACGCATTCCATTTTGAATAATAATGAGTAATAAAAATAGCATCTTGTGATTTTATCACTTTGTTGAAGACTTTATCCTCTACAAGAAGTTCTTAAACATACAAAGTATTCTGTTTATGGCCTTTATCTGTGGGTGCCGCTTACTTACGTGCTAGGAAAGATTTTGTTTTCTTTCTACATAAATTTTGCCTGTTTCGAATCTTTCAGAAAATGACAAAGCAACCTGGTACTCTCCTACTCCTCTCCTAGCATAATGAACAACACAGTTTGGCTTGTTGTCTTTGTGTCACCTTATTTTTTCAGTAACTATAGTTTTTGTTGTGTCTTTGCTTGAAAAAAGCTGGTTTTGGTGGTTTTTTTGGTTTGTTTGTTTGGTTTTTTTTAACTCTGTTGTTCTTCAGACCACCATATTCCTGCCAAGGATGCTGGAATTGCAGAATGGACACATTGTTTGCCTGAACTCTGTCCTGGCCTTGTCAGCCATCCCTGGTGCCATTGACTACTGCACTTCGAAAGCCTCGTCCTTTGCCTTTATGGAGAGCCTGACCTTGGGGCTGCTAGACTGTCCTGGAGTGAATGCCACAACAGTCCTGCCCTTCCACACGAGCACAGAGATGTTTCAGGGCATGAGAATCAGGTCAGTCCAGGGGAACTAGAATAAAGCATCTCATTTTAAGTGAATCATCAGAATACACTCCTAATTAATGCTTCATTTAGTTAAGAGAATTTGATGTCTCATTTGGCTGCCTGGGAACAGAGGGTCACTCTAGGCCACCTGGGACTCATCGGACTGGTTCCCTCAGTTTGCTTGCACATTCATACAGCCTGCCTGTACTGAGGGAGACATTTGCTGCTACAGAGAAAACTGAAAGCTATTTTTTCCCTGAGTGTATTTGGGCCATATGCAGCCACCAGAAAGGGAGGGGAGGCAATCTGAAAATTGAGGCCATTCAAAAGGAGCAGTCTACAAATTACTTGAGAATTAACAGTACAGATTCCGTATTTATTCCTTGAAACACTTAAATCTTTCCCACCAAAAGAAATGACAACCACTTACTTCAGTAAGATTATCAGTACCTCCTTTTCACCTCTATCTAAGAGAACAAGCTAAATCCAAAGACTTAACGACTGACAAAATCTCTTACAATGGACAAAAAAACCTATTAATATAGTTTGTGCTCTCTTAGAGAAATATGCAGTGTCAAACTATTGCTGGAGCTGGGAAAAGCCTTATGTTTGGTATTAAAAGCAATGGGGGAAAATTATTTGTCTTTCACGTGTCAAGAGTTTGAATCAAGCAAAGAGCAGCAGAGAGGAAGAGGAAAAATACCAACACTGAACAGACAGCGTTTTGGTATTGGTTTGCAATAAGTTTAAGAAAAACTCAGAATCAAGGTTCTGAATACACTCTGCCACTTCACCCTAAAGGCACCAATGTGTACATTCTTAACCTTTTAGCTAACCCACTAATACTGGTTGGTACTGGGCTTTCTGCTTTCCAGCTTCCTGGAACTGGAATTGGCTCCTTCCAGCCTGCTTTGGGGCATGTTTGAATGCCAGTAGCCAGTGATGGTTTAGTGAGTAACAGGACTTGGACAATGATATCTTAAAGGAGGAGTTTGGTTAACAGATAATTATTTTATTTTTTGCTTTATTTATTCAGGTTCCCTAATCTTTTTCCTCCTCTCAAGCCAGAGACAGTGGCTAGGAGGACAGTAGAAGCTGTTCAGATGAATCAAGCCTTCCTGCTCCTTCCATGGACAATGCATGTTCTTGTCATCCTAAAAAGGTAAATATTTCCTTTGCCCAGCAATAGCCTAGCCAGTTAGGCAAGAGTGGCTTACAATCCTGTGTGTCTGTCCACCCAGGCAAACCTCAGTTTGGCTGTAACCCAATATCCAGGATCAGAGTGGTTCATGCCTTCCCATGAAAGACAGTCCTAGAAGCAAAAGGGAGAAAACCTTCTCAGAGTCCCTTTGTAGATGCTTTCCCTGGGTATAACCCCTTTATGAAACCAGTTTCACTCCCAAAATATGGGTTCCTGAGGTCTGAACTGATGTTTGTATCTAGGAAATTTCTTAACAATTAACATATGCATGTAGTTGATTTTGATTTAGTAAGCCACTCTTCGGACTCTGGGTTTTAGATTGTAAAGGATTTATGTACAATAAGGTATGTACATCACAGCTGTATTTAGAGAGCATTGCTTGTATTAAAGCAATGAAACTATTAAAACAATATATTTTCGTGTATGATTAGGACAGGAATTTCCAAGTCCCTAAGGAAACAAATTAATAATTTCATATTCTGAAACAACTACAGAGAAAGGGCATTTAAAATTGTGTTTCCATGAGAGTTTGCACTAAAGCCTTTGGAAAGCCTACTTCAGTCAGGAACTGAAATGAAGCCATGAGACTTCTGTGGAAAACAATTACAATATTGCATTTCAAATAAGAAAAAACAATTCACAAATAAATGCTTTTCTCTGAATGTAAAATTTGGGATACTCTCAAAAGTTCCCAGAAATCCTACAGGCTGAAAAAGGGCTGCTCTTGTCCTTTATTGTAAGAATTAATTATTTATTTTCAATTACAGTAGCTGTCAGGAAATTAGGTCTATATCCGTACCTTATGGTAAGGAGGGCACATGCCTAGCACAAATAGATGGCAAGTTAAACAGAGAACTCAGGTTAAGTTTGTGTATTTCAGAATGCAAGATTCTGCACAGTATTTGGGAGGAATAAAACATGATGATATCTTCCAAGTTACAGTTTTTACAGACCTTTTTTGATAAATATTTCTGTAGAGAAAGAGCAACTTGATACAACTTTCTCCGTTTAGGCCTACTCACAGCAGGATACTGATGTGTTTTGCCTCTGCGCTCTCACTGGCTGATTTTTGAGAATATGTACACTTGCATATATGTGTACATAAATGCATATTTGCATATCCTCTTATTAGAATAGACTAAGAGGTTTGTCTGGTCTGCTTATTTTCTTTCTGCTTCTCCTGCAGCATTCTCCCTCAGGCAGCACTTGAAGAAATCCACAAGTTTTCGGGGAGCTATACCTGCATGAACACTTTTAAAGGACGAACATAGACTTGGTGGTGCAAGGACTGTTCTTCAGTGAACCCAACACAAGCTTGAAAATCCTGACAAGACTGTGAATCAGCAGTCTTGGCTTTTAGCCTGTTCACGTGACTTGCGCTGCTCTGAGGCAACACATTTCTTGCAGGTCATATCCATAGTAACATGACCTTTGCACAGGATTGAATGACTAGACTATGGACCCTTGGAAAGAAAAACAAAAAGTGTGAAATGTTTATATGATGTTTAATTCTTTAGAGTTCAATTGTTAAATTTACTCATAGTTTTAAGATGTAATTTTTGTTTCTAAAGTGTCTGTAGGCTGTCTCAGCTGAGCGGCAGCACATCACACCCCATACTTTATCCCCTCCCTTCAGAGGAACTGCAGCTACAAACTGCCACTGGTTTCATTTCAGCTGTTTGAATGAGGAACTTAAAAAATACTTTGAAGAACTAAAAGTTATGGACATTTAATGAAAGTTTTTTTCCCTTCCTTCACTTTACATCCGTTGATGAGGCTGTTCC